ATTGTTATTAATAAACATCGTCTCCTTTACAACTTTCTTCTTTACTTTAATCTTGTACTTTTTCTTGTGATCTTTGTTATTTCAATTCGTCATTAATCTCAATTCCTGCGTTCGAGACGATTTTCCCAACATATGATTGCTTTGGTACTGGCCACAGTTCGACAACTATCTCAGCAGGCCTCGGTAATTTCTTATTCCCCACAACTGAACATTGAAATCCACAATAAAATAAGAATCCATACACTAGATTCATACTGTTATATGGTACTCATGTTTTAAACTATAAATAGATAGAAATGAATGGTGGATAAATGGGCAGTATTTGTAGGTCACATGAACTGTGTGGATAAAAAGTTATTTGACTAAAATTGTATATAATTTTAACACTTGACAAACAAGGGAAGTTTGATCAGGATGTTCTTCCAGCATCTTGATACTTTGTTAATCATGACCAGTATGATTAGTAACAATTTGAAGAAAGTAGCATCATCTAGATGCGTGGCTCGTTAGCTGAGCACTGTCTCGCTATACCCATGTCACCTAGTTTTCCTTTCTCTCCCAGCAGCTAAGAGTTGCACACACGTCTTTTTATCATCAAATAAAGTGTTCACACCTTGTTCATGAGACGCTGATTGCATCAAAGAACCTGGAGATTGTTTCTTTTCTAGGTTTTGATCCATTAGATTTCTTGTTTCCCAAGTATGGCTGTAGGAAGGGATCTAAAAGGAAGAAACAACAATGCAGTTTCCGTAATAGGTGATGGTGCTATGACATCAGGTCAGGCTTATGAAGTAATGAACAATGCTGGATACCTCGACTCTGAAATGATTGTTATTCTTAATGACAACAAACAAGTCTCGTTACCCACTGCTAATCTAGATGGCCCAATTCTTCCCGTCGGAGCTTTAAGTAGTACCCTGAGCAGGTTGCGGTCCAACAGGCCACTTAGAGAACTAAGAGAAGTTGCCAAGGTTAGATAATGAGCGAAGAATGAGAATAGATTAAAAAAAAACCTTCCATTATGTGAAGATTCATTTTGTTACTTCTTTAGTTATTTTGGTTTATATTATTGCAGGGAGTTACTAAACAAATAGGTGGGTCCATGCATAACCTTGCTGCAAAAGTTGATGAATATGCTCGTGGGTTGATCAGCGGTTCCAGATCTTCACTATTTGAAGAGCTGGGACTTTACTAGATTGGTCCTGTTGATGGCCACAATATTGATGATCTAATTTCTATTCTTAAAGAAATTAAGAGTATGAAAACAACCGGTCCAGTGTTAATCCATGTTGTCACCGAGAAAGGCAGAGGCTATCCCTATGCTAAGAAAGCTGCAGACAAGTACCACAGTAAAGTATTACTGTATTGGTTGAAAAATGTTATCAGAACATTAGTTACGCATATGCTTGTATCAGGTCGCTTATGCAAACATACATAATTTGGGATCTTCTTAAAACAGAATAAAATGAGATGAGTTTTATCTTGACTCTTATTTTTCTCATGGCAGTTCATTTCTCAAATAAATTAAGTTCGTGGTTTGTCTGCTTTACTATTTGCAGGTGTCACTAAGTTTGATCCTGCAACTGGAAAACAATTTAAATCCAGTGCCCCGACTCAGTCATACACATCCTACTTTGCAGAGACTCTGATAGCTGAAGCGGAAGCTGACAAGGACGTTGTTGCAATCCATGCAGCAATGGGAGTTGGGACGGGTTTGAACCTTTTCTTGCGTCACTTCCCAACGAGGTGTTTTGATGTCGGTATAGCCGAACAGCATGCCGTAACTTTTGCTGCAGGTTTGGCCTGCGAAGGCCTTAAACCTTTTTGTGCAATTTGCTTATCCTTCATGCAAAGGGCTTATGACCAGGCAATCTAATTTACATTTCTGTTTTCTCAGTTATCATTATTTCATAGCCTACAGAATTTTTAGTAGGCGAGTCTTTCTTTCATATCCAGGTAGTGCATGATGTGGATTTGCAGAAGCTACCCGTGAGGTTTGCCATGGACAGAGCTGGCCTAGTTGGAGTAGACTGTCACGGGACTAGATTTCTTACACTAGAAAAACTAGACACCGTGCGGCTTTAACGCAACACAATTCCCGTCCCTACGAGAAAGCGCTAAGTCAGCCTTTCGACGCCCCAAAATGATTCAACCTTATAGGCTAAATCAAGACAAACTTTGAGTATGAGATTTGAAGTAATAAAGACAATATCGAGAAACAAGTAAGTTTGAGAGAAAATCTCTCTTTGTATAAAAACTCCACACCAATGTAATCTACAATGTGATC